GGTGCAACTTGAGGCCATTTCCCCTTGTCTTTTCACTACCTACCAGGGAGGAGGGTATATTTATGTATTTCTATTGTATATTTATTTAATTAATTTTCTGTTGTATTTTTTTCTATTGTATATTTATTTATTACTGAATTCAAAGAGCACCTGATGTGCAACACATCTGAAAATAATAGAATCATATATCTAAGCTTTCCTTCCTACTCCATTTCAAATGGTTTTGCTGCATCTTTAATCAGATGTTCAAAAGCATATTTGTGTGAGTACACACACGTGTGTCTGTATCTGTATTTGTATCTGTGTATATTCAGAGCACCAGCAAATGATAGACTATTTTGTCATTGTTAATATAACTCAGGAAAGATACTTTGAACTTTTCTAATAGAAAATGCATACAATTGTGGGAAAGTATGAACTGTTATGCTTAACTTCATGCCTTAGATATCTAGGTATCTGCCTGACCATCTGTATTAATGGCTTTTCTGAAATAATTTATCTATTTACAGTTCAATTTAAGGTAACAAAGAAGTAGCAAAGTATGAAATAGTCATTAATACTTCCCATAAGTAGTTAGGCAGATAGTTAAAGTACTCTGTATTGACCTACTGCTAGAAGAGATCAGCATTACATGCGATCCAGTAATGGTGTACTGTGCAAGAAAAAATAAAAGTCACTGAAGAAATTTCATTTTGTGTTGAAAATAAATATTGCTGCCTGGTTGGTTCTTTACTTACTGTGTCTCAGCTGATGGGCAGAAATTTCCAGCTAAGGAAGATGTGCTAGCTGGATCATTTGTAATGAGAGGAGCAGATCACAAACATTCTTATGGATATATCCAGAAGCAGAATAAGCAGACAGTTTGAGGGTAGTCTTTTTTAAGGGCAGCATTTTTCAACTACAGCTGATGCAGATTAGGAAGCTACTGCCTCCTTTTGCTGACTACCAGGCAATCCCACCCTATCCCATAGCAGGATATTACCAGTCTCTGACATCTGCTAGTGTAAATAAACTCTGTGTAGAAAGCAGCAAAGCAATCCAAGTCTATCAAAATTGTTTGGCTAGAAACACTAATAACATACATTCTTTAGATTAAACTAGACCATTTTAATAGAACAGAGAGGTAGGAAGTCACTACGTATGCATCAGGTAAAAGGGGTAAAATTTCTGTGGATCAGCGACCACTAGAGCAGTAATTGTGTCATGTGACACCAACAGATGTTACAAAGTATGTTTTGACAGAAGCTTTGAGGAGACACACTTCAGAATTTGACTTCAAATGAGCAAGTGAGGAGCTTAAATCCTGAAATAACTTTGGGGATGTAAGTCAGTATTCCTAAACTATTTACCTAACATAGCACCTATGCTGCAGGCTGAGGAACAGATTCCTTACCTCAGCCCTGCAGTCACCCAGAGTCTGTTAATTGTGGGTTAATTGTTGTAGACTTCAGAAGACTAGATGAGGCTAGACCCTCCCTGTGGCATTAGGAGGACCATCAATTTCTGTTTAAACTGATTGCAATAGAATACTTAGAATACTTAGCATTTTGAAAAGCAGGGAATTAAATTTACGTGTGCCATTGAAACAAGTTTTACATTTTAGATCCAGTGTCATTTGTATTATATTTCAGCTTTATAATTTCTAATTAGTTATTATACCGGATATAGTAGAGCAAGTGAATTATTAACCTAGGAAAAAAATAAGCAATTGAGGTAAGTTTAATAGTTATTGTGATTGTCATCATTCGTAGAGTATAAGAATACTATGCACTGTTAGAAATAAGTTTTCAAATCATATAATCTAAAATATGCTTCTGCTGCAGGTCATGGGATAACAGCAGTAAAGGAAAAAGCGGGAACTACCCTAGGAATTCATAACGCAAGTTCAGCTTCTTCGGAAACAGCAGAGCCTCCTGTGGCTGAAACACCAATTCTGCGTAAGTTCAAGTTCACTGAAATTGGACAAAGCTCTTTGACACTGCCAAAGTAGTCCAATTTACAAAATGTTAAGGTTTTGGTCACAGAATCCAGTGTACTGCAATTTATGACTGGAAAGTATGCTGTAACTTGCTTGTTTTCTTTTATTAGAAGCAGAAGATTCTCTGGACCAAAGCTCTTCTGAGAATATTCCTTCTTCTCCTTTATCTGGATCTCGTGGCATGTTGTCAGCTATCACTAATGCTGTACAAAACACAGTGAGTTATTTCAGCTGGCCTCTCTGCTCTAGTTATTCTTCATCACTTTTAGGTGCAACTTCACTGTAGGTCACATTTAACAGGTAGCGTTTGGTAAGTTGTAGGTCTTCGTCAAAACGGTTCTGTTGTAAGTCTGTTTAGAGCCTCTTCCATGGCAGAATAACTGTATCAAATTAAAAAAAAAATTCAAACACAACTAAGTCAGTTACTACTTTGGCACCAGTTTCAGTGAAAAATGATCTTCTAAAGTATATGAAATTCTGCAAATCTTTTTTACAGTTGTGTTACCATCATCTATGTTTTTTACAGTTAACTCCTTCCAGAGAAAGTATAAGATTTGTTATCATTTTTGAAGGCAGATAAAATAAGAAAATACTCCACTTGCTTATTTTAAGGCTGTTGCTAGACTGTATTGTTAGACCCTGGCCCTTACCTTCACCTTTCTATCTAGTCTCTCATTTCATATTAGCCTTCCCAGGTGGTCAAAATCTCCAGACCAAAATTCAGCAAACCAATTCTGATGCTGCCATAGTTTTAAGGCAGCTTCACCATACACATTACATAAATTTTTATCAGATTGCACAGTGTTTTTTCCTTTTCTGAAGTAATACAGCAGAATATGATGAAAATGTTCCTTTGATTTTCCATTTTTAAATTGATGCCAAATAAATGTTAACTAAATTGTACACTTTCCTTTTCTAAAACAAGCTTGACCTGCCAGCTGCTAAGTGACCTAATGAATTAGCAGTTTAAAATGAAGTTAGATACATTTCAAAACATGTATGTCCATCTATTAAAAAAATGCAGTTAGTTTTTGGCCAACCCAATGTATCAGGTCACATCAGCATGGGAGTACCTGACAGATGCATAATCCAGATTGAATTGGAAATTTTTAGCCAGTGAAAATTCTTGTTCAATGTACATGAAAAATTGTGAGTGATGGCTAATGCTAATACAAAGGCACAGGAAAAACAACTGTATTTTTGACAGACAGTTCCAGAGTCATCACAAGTAACAGAATTGTAGAAATCAGTTGGGTAAGGCAAGGTCATGCTGTTCATGATGTGTATGTTCCCATGGACTAGATGCCACTTCAGATGAAATTAAAGTGGTATTATTCATAATTTTTTTATTGGCAGGAGGTGTTATGCTTCCTCTGGTGTGAGCCTTTTATTTAACTAGAAATATTTGTATATTTAATATTTTTTTCTTTTTGAAAATGTATTCAGAACAAAGTAACATAATTTTATAAATGTATCGATCCTATTGTTAGTTAAAGCATAGAAAATGTAGGGACCTGAATGTTCAAAGATGGTGTTGGCAAAAGCAATACCTTTTACAGTTCATATTAGCATAAAGTGGAAAGAAAATAACCACATTGCATTGTTTTATACAGGGGAAAAGTGTACTATCTGGAGGCTTAGATGCTTTGGAATTTATTGGGAAGACAACCATGAATGTCCTTGCAGAAAGCGATCCTGGATTTAAGAGAACCAAAACACTGATGGCAAGAACAGTTTCTCTGTCTCAGGTTGGGTTTATCTAAATACAGCTCTGTCAATGCAGTTTCACATTCTTTTTCCAGAATTTCAGATGCCTCAGGGAGAGGCTTTATTTATTGCAGATTGGTTAGGCTTATGGAAATAAATATTGTGCTTTGTATTTGCTCCACTTTCTTTTTCTTCATAAAACCACAAAAGATAAAGTAAAATATTTTCTGTGTAATCACATGTACAATAGCTGATTTTAGTAAGATAGTGTATGTGGTGATAAATCATTACACGCTGGAAACAGAATCAAGTTGCTGGTGTTTTGTAACAGCTGTAGATAGATGTCTTCCAGCATAAACATCATTACAGTACTTTCCCTGGAAATGAGCGATACTGGAATCTGACATATGTTTCATTAGGAATTAAAGCTGTGAAAAGTTATATCTTAATGTCTATCTAAACTAATGGTACTCTTACACAGTCATGACTCATACATTTAAAAGTTTAGAGGCATGATAAAAACAGAAGTATAAGTGCTGTCAGTACAAAATTATGAGACTCACATGTGACTTAAGATGCAGTTCAGATGTATTTACCAGCTTTACTGTAGCAAATTCATACAAGAGGCCATTGGTTCCTGGGAACAGAAAGAAGAAATAGAAGATGCTATTCTATACACTATTCTATCCTTCTTATTCACTAATAAAAGTGTATAAGAAGATAACTGCAAAATATCCTGAAGTATATGGTGTATAGTTCTTCCCCACCTTTGGTAGAAGTCACACCTTACTAGGCCAATCTCTTTTGTCAGTCCTACTGTCACAGAAAACTGACTTTGATATCTGCTAAAAATATTTTATAGGAAATATTTATTTGGGTGCATTATTTATGCAAGTAGGCAGGTAGGTCCTGAAAACAATATTCTTCCCATTTGTGGTCTATGGAATGAATTGCATGACTCTTTAAGGCTGTGTATGAAATAGTTCTTTTTATTTTTCTTTCACTGTAATTGGTGACTAAATTTATTATATGGTATCCATAACTGACATTGCTTCTGAGAACAAAAGCAAGAATATTTCTTTTTTCATTGTTTTATGAAAAAATATGGTTAGCAATTACCACTGGGAAAACCATACTTAGAATACTACTTCAATATTTTATTAAAGAAGTTTATCAAAAGAGAAGTTAGGTATTTCAGCTTTAAAATTTCAGCTCTAAAATTTCAACTCTGCAGGTGTGATATAGTCCCAAATATTATTACTGCTTCCTAGACAAGCAGAAGCAGAAAGTAATAAAATCTGTCATACCTATAGCACTACCAGTAAAACAACAGGAATTATGTATATTTTTGCAGCTGTTGCGAGAAGCTAAAGAGAAAGAGAAACAGAGGCAGGCCCAGCAAGTTACGGTTGAAAGAACAGCCCATTATGAACTACTTTTTGATGAGTTCCAGGGTTTGTCTCACCTCGAAGCCCTGGAAATCCTGTCAAATGAAAGTGAAGCCCAGGTACAGTATGCAGACAGCATAAATCAAAATGGTCAGTAAAAAGTTGTTCTTTACATTAATCTCGCTCTGCAGGTGCATGTGAAATGAACAGTAAGTTTTTCGTCAACTTCAGAGAAAGCTGGGTGGGTCCTATGGGCCAGTCTTGGGCTTCAGGAAATCAATCTCAATGCATGTAAAATTTAACTCCAGGACTAACTCAAAACAAGCAACTTCAGAACTGAAAGTTATTTTTGTTAGGACAATATACCAGCCCATGACTCTGCAGATGTCTTTTCAGAAACTGCAAGGAGGGTAATGTCTTCTGGTTTTGTATCAGGCACTGATACTTGCCTTCAGGAATTCCAGAGCTACTACACCTAGAGGCTAGTGAATTAAAATGAAATCCAAATTACTTATTCAATTCCTAAGTCTTCTTTATTGTGTTAGGTTTTAAATTTACATAAAACTACCCCAAGATATCATCACTGGAAGTACACAAATGCTATTATGTCTGAAGAGCACGCTAAAGTTAAAGCCTATATGATAAATACATTTTTTAATTTCAGCTGTCAGAAGATCTCTTGACAGTAGATTAATAGAACTTTTTTAGATTCCCAGCAGTGGTATTTGTATTGAAAGAGTTTTCTGAACACATTTCTTAAAATACATGTTTTCTTCTTTTTGTTTTAGTTATTACCCCTCCTTGCCCTCTGGGTTATTTTTAATAAAAAATAACCAACTTATTTTTTAAAATGCTATATTTGCTGTCACAAATAAAAGAAGCTTATTTTAATAACAGCTAGGTACATACTGTCCATGGTGGTTTTGGTTTTTGCACTGATGTCTAAATGCAGAATTACGAATTTAAATCCTACATGTGTGGTTCAAGGGCCTGCTTTTGAAAAAAGAAAAAAAAGAAACCCACAAACCAGGAAAGCGATAAATAGAAAACAAGCTCAAGTTAATTGCATGTGTCAACACGTCAACGCTATTTTTCTTTCACTGTTAAATACCACAGGGTAAGGAAGACATGTGTGGATTGTTACCAGGAGGTTTCTGGCGTGCTTCATGTTATGTCCTACATAACCCCTGACTCATAGTCCTACTCACTCCAACAGAATTGAGTGCGACTGTGTGGGTCAACAAGTCCAGTTCCCTGATATATAATTCCAAAAGACTCAAAGAACATCTTCCAGTTACCACACACATGCGCACACACAAAATACTCACTCACAGTGCTGTGAGCTTGAGACCTTTACTAACAGCCCAAAAGCCATGCTCTGATGTGTCACAGGAGAAACAGAAGAGAGACTGAAAGCATTGCTAATGTCCTATTTCCTTCTAATAGCAGGGATTTTAAAATATTCTACAGCTTTTATTTGAAAAGTTTCCATTAAAAAAGGTCCCAGTTAATCCTGTGAAATGGACAATGCTATAGCAAGGGCCAAAAAGCCCTAGGTAGTCCTTCACAACCTGAGCTGGATCTCCCAACTTTACCTTGCATTTAACTCTGAGCATATGAGCTGGATACATCAAGGAGGAACACAAGAAAATAATGTTTTTCTCCAGTCTCTCACTGAGCCAGTCTGCACATATATCAGGCAAGCTTAAAAGAAAGCAACCTTGAAACAAACCTAAAAGTGAAATTTTGAAATGGGAGATGGCATTTCTCTTGGCTTTCACAAACAGAGAGTGTGATCATGGGATTAACACCGCGTAACTGGAGTGTGAATGAACAGTGATTCAATGAATCTGTTTCCATCCCTCTTAGGCTTGCCACCCTAGTAAATATGCAGGGACTCACACGAGACTCTCAAATATCTGTCAATATGTTCTCCAGCACTGGTAGACTGGTAGACTGTTGAAAGTTTTGTTTGCATTTTAAAGGAGAGGAAACAGACTTCTTTTTCTAACTCCTCCTGTGAGTGCTCAGACTGAACATGAATTATTGCACTTTGCAATTAAACCACAGTTTTATAATTCAAAATGAATGTTCTGGAAGAAGGTAGAGACCTGATGATCTTGCAGGGCTGGTGTAATTTTTGTGATACTCAAGTTTTGTTGATGAGAGCTGAAAAGGCATATACATAAGTTGGAAAGTTAGAGACAAGATCTGAGCATAATGGAAGTTTCCATTTCCTAGCCTTTTTTGATATCAGGCTTAAAAGTAGCAATTTAAGGAAAAGGCTCTGTTTTGTTTAGAAATGTCTTCTGTCTTTTACAGATTCAGTCATATTTAGCAACACTTGATGGAGAGCAATTGGAGGCTGTGAAAAATTATTTAATTGCTGTAAAGGAGATTTTTGTTCCAAAGGAATCAGATGATGAAGTGGTACAGGCACAGAAAGGTAATTAGAAATACAGAGATGTAACCATGTGAACAATTGTTGCTTCTGCATTTAGTAATTAAAAAGATTACAGTCCAAACTATAATTTCTGATATCCTGATACTCTTCATAAGCAAGCCACTAAAATTACTACTCTGAAAGTTCTGGAAGCTGAACCATGCTTGGTTTTGAATTTATATTGTAATTGAAGTGTAAAATAGAGAAAATAGAAGATAAGGAAGTATTATATTACTTTACTGTATCATCAGTGAAAGCAAAGCAGAAAATAAGAAGAATAATGTTTTTGGTAACTGAGGTTTTCTTACAGAATCTGTTTATGAAGTTTTGTAATGTGAACACGTAGGAGGGTTTAGCAATGCTTTTCTGTTTAGCAACTTCATCCTTACTTGCATCCTCTCTTGCTAGATAGGGAGAAGAATAAAGCATAATAAAGCATAAGAACACTGAACTTTTTGAAGAAAAGTCTCTTTGAAAGCTGCTTTCTTGGTATTGCTTGGCAAGATGTGAGAAACAAGTTAAAACAGCAGAAACGTGCCATAGCTATGGCACAGTGCACAGCATCACAGAGGATGGGACCAGCATGGCAGTCCATAGATCAGCTCACAGAAGTTGCAGTAAAATGGGTGGGCCCTTTGGTTAGGGGCAAAATAGGTGTTTTAAAGAGGTCAGAAATTTTGGCATTCTCCAGAACAGGCAGGGAACAGAAGGATAAGAAGTTAGCTTGAAGCCACCATAGTTCATGTCTCTATACCAAACCTCTTCTAGCTAATAGAAACAATACCCTTGACCTGTCTGAGGACTGGCTCATGCCATTAAACACCATTATTTCAGAAACGCAGAAACATAAAAAGATATTTCTTCCACACCCTCTTGATCTCCTCAGGGGTGCTTTGCCCATAAAATCTACATTTTGGAAGATAATGAGGTATGATTTCTCTAGCCTTCAGAAAAGTTAGAAAAATTGTGTTAACATCCACATGTTCTAACTGGAAAGTCTTTCCTGCTCGGTCTGCTCTTTCCAGCAGTGCTTACTCAGTTTGCCTCATATATCTTTCAGGGACATTATTGTTTCTTCACAGGGAACAGTGAGTGTTCAGTGTAGTCTTAGTATGTAGAGTTTTGTGCTGATTTTTCCCCCCTTGTTTCTTTTTTTAAAAGTGGGTTTGTAAGAAGTAGAGTCAAGAAAGCGTATTACCTGCTGAGGAGTGAGGACTCACTTGATGTCTCCTGTTCCTTAATTTCTGTGGGAAATAGCTCCTTGCTTTCAAACCAGCCCCCAGGAAAAGCTCTGTGTCTTGCACAAAGTGATGTTTTCTCTGTACGTCAAAATTTCTGTTTTTTCAGTGAAGCACAGCTGCTGATCATGCTCCTTGAAACATTGACTGGACTTCTAAAGAGGCTGGGACCAAGGCAATGTGCACCTTAAAGAAAAAAAAAAAAAAAGAAAAAATCAGTGTGTGCTGCAGGGTTTCCCCTGCCAAAGCAAATCAGTCAGCAGTGAAACAAATCCTCCTCTCTGTGACAGCGGAAATAATAACCACACACATGTTCATTCTCTCCACCTTACAGCTGAATGGGAGTTACTTCAGGCTGCAGTTCAAAATTACATCCTTTAGTGCAGTCAGGCTCAAGATTTAGTAGTGTTCAAACTACAGATACATTTTATATATGAGAACTCAGTTGGACAAATTTTAGTTCCCCTGAAGGACACCGAAAGAATAGAAAGGTTAATCCCTTCTCAAAGTAGCTTTCTGTTAGGGGTGAGCTGTGGTCAGGCTCCTAACATGGGACGTGTGGCCTTTACGTCTCCCTTCAGCCTCTCACCCGTAATCCGTAGTACATTCAATACTGCATTGAGAGTACTCTTAACAGTGTATAGTGCTTTCACACATCCTCTCTAAACAGTATCTTAATCTGGGTACACTTCACAAAAATACATTATCTTCATTAAAAACTCATTACAGTGAGTGAAGGCTTGATATCATCGTCCTGAGTTGGGGAAGACCAAACTTTTTCCTGACTTTGTTAATGCCAAGTGTTTTTGTTGAGTGCAGCAAAAGTATAAAACTTCGTAAAACTTAACGAATTCCATTAATATCCCCTTACATGGCAATTGTCTGCCATTTTTAGATAAAAACAATATCGAGCACCTTTACATGTGATTGTCTGTGATTTGCATGTCTGCTTTCCCTGATGAAGCACAGTTTTATTAAACATTTTAATGATTCATTCAGACTTTCATTTCCCCATCTTAACATAATTTAAATTGGATTCCAGTGACTTTCTGTTGACTACACTTAGCATTCTGGTCATATTTTACAAATAAGTTTAGCTTTCCAGGGAGCACACTTGATCTTTTAGGGTGTAGATTTGAGTTGTTTGGTTTTATTTTTAAACTGGAATTGTTCATCTAAAATGACTTATTGGGACCTTAAGCGTATTTCTGTGGCATAATTAGTATTTAGCTAAGAAAATGGTTTGTGTTTAATGTCAGCAAAAATTTTAAACATTATTTGGCATCCAGCATAGATAAAAGACAGGAAAGTTTAACAACAAGTTCGCTGATCAGAACTAAATGTAGCTCATGTCTTGCTGTGAAGAGAAGGCTTCTTTTGAGTTTGTGTTCTTAGTTCAAGCTATTAAATACGATTAAGGTCCTGTTAAGCACATTAATAGTTTTTACACTTCTAAAATCAAGTCAGTAAGCCATATGCTCTTTTAATAATGTATTTTTTATTATAGAATTACATGTTTTTACTTAAGCTAACTAATCTAGCAAGAGGTAGCAGGCTATGTTAAATTCTGTGAAGGCATTTTGACTTTTAATACTTGTAAACAGTTCAATTAAAATGAACTTGCCTTCAGTAGGATTTTAATTTGTGTTTCCTAGCTCAATGAAACTTGTGTTTTTTCCCTTTATGTAAGAAAGCTACCCTTCTACAAAAGACAGAGATTAACTAATGGAGTTTGAAAGTGTTCAGTCTTACCTAGCCACTGAACAGTATTTGAAAACAAACTTGTTACCACTTACTGCTAGTTAGTTACCACTTTCTCGTCATCAGTCAGTGCTATATATATTCAGAAAAAAAAAAAAAAAAGACTAGCCTGGAGGGAAGCATTCCAGTGTTTGAAAAGGGTGGCCGTTTGTTTTACGTAAACTCTTAGGATCCCTTCTTATCTTGGATTCTCAGCAACTTATTCAGAGATGTTAGTGCTACTTCTGGTTTCTACCGTAAACACTTTCAGTCCTACACAAGGAGAAATTACTGCAGTGATATTTGGAGGGCTGTTTTGGGAAAGGATTTGGGCTAGGCTTTGTTCTTGGCAACTTTGAAAATGGAATTGTACGGGTTTTGCGTCTTTGCTTCACAGTCAAATACGTGCAAAATCAGTATGAAAAGAAAGGGAAAAGATTTTCTGACACAAGTAGGAGAAAGCCAAATGCATACTCTTCTGTCTAATGTTGCCTCTCACTTTGATTATGCAACCCTTTCATGTATTTTTCACTGCAGCTTCTCTTCCTTTCAGTTGTTTATGAAATAACAAGAGGAGAATATCTGAAAAAGGTAGCTTTATCTACATTCTGAAAGCTATTAACATAAAAAAATTCATATGTGAGGTTAAGAGAGGTGGTAAACAAAGTGAGTATTGAGATGAATATGCCAATTATCAACAATTCTGATAATATTGCATTGATTCAGTGAAATGCTTATCAGTTTTCTGCATGCTGCACTTTATAAAACAATTTGGTATTGTTTTAAGAACAGGTGAATTCAGTATATCCAAGAGCTGCTGTACTGCAGAACCTGAGAATCCTACAAAATGTACTGATAAGGGCAGCAATGAAATGAACTCTGTGCATCTCTTTGGCCTGCCAGAATACATTCGTCTTGACCTGTTTTCCAGCTGTAAGAGGAAAGCTCAGTCTCTTGGTCATTGCAGGAGAAGAGTTCTTTGTGCTCAATACTGATTGATCTTATAGCACCAAAGGTGGGCACTCTGCTTGCTAGCAAGGGTGAGATGTCCTTTCCTCTAGGAGCTTAGAATCTGAGTGTCAGATTCCACCACGTTTCCACATATTGCAAGGTACTGTGGACTGTAAACAGTTCTACCAAAATCCCCAAACTCATTGAAGAGTAATGACCCTCTGCTTTTAAGCCCAGTACATATACATAAAAATGGAAAAACTGGCCCTACCTAATAAATTAACAAAAGAGTGGGAATACAGCAAGACAACTTGCTGCTTAATTTTTTAAGTACCTGGACTTTTATCAGGCTCAATATGGGGACTTTAACCTTTTATCAGGCTAAAATAACTTCTTCATTTAAGCAGAGCTCAATCTTAAAATAGAAAGAAAACACACTTCTTAGCTGTGGTTTGAAGACAGAGCAATAGAGAGCGTGTTCTCCACTATGTTTCCTCTGAAACTTTTTTGTATCTGACTCTGCTGCAGTTTTCATTCCTTGGCTTGAAAGAAGAGATTAGTATCTCTTCTTCTTTGGTTATTCTGTGGGTCATGGGTGACTTTTGTGGTTCAAGAGATGGGTGTTGGTCTCTTTTCCCAAGTAACTAGTGATAGGACAGGAGGAAATTACCTTGAGTTGCACTAAGGGAGGTTTAGACTGGATATTAGGAATTTATTTTTTTTTTCATGAAAAATGCTGTCAAGCACTGGAACAGGCTGCCCAGGGAAGTGGTGGAGTCACCATCCTGGAGGTATTTAGAAGATCGGTAGATGTGGCACTGAGGGACACGGTTTAGTGGTGGATTGACAGTGTTAGGTTTACAGTTGGACTTGATGATCTTAAAGGTATTTTTCCAATTTAAAAGATTCTATATTTCTATGTATTTTTGTCAGATAACTAGGGATCGTGCAGCTCTTCTCCTCTTAGCTGTTTTTGTGAAACTTAGTGAAATTTAAAATGGAGTGGAAAGAGTAGTCAAAGTGTCAAGCTAGCATATCTGGTTGTGTGGGCATCTCTTGCTTTTTCTCTTCTTTCTTTGACCATATACACATATACACACCTCTTTGCTGTATCACTGTCACTGGTTTTCAAGTGCTAGAGAGCTCAGGAAAACTATTTGACTGGATGTATTTGGTGGTGTAAAATATTACAGTGGTAACAGCCTAACAAAAAGTGTCTTGTTTTTTCTTGCAGCAGATATGGGAGAAGAGTTTGTCAGCATGCTCACTGAACTGCTGTTTGAATTGCATGTCGCTGCTACTCCTGACAAACTTAATAAGGTCAGTGCCTTTTAGTGAGCTGCCCTCTGTTTCTTGGACAAAGACAAAGAGGGAGGGCTTTGTTCTGAAATCAGACACAGAGCAGTACCTGTCTGCTCACAGAGTTCAGAAAGCAAAGTACAGGAGGATGGGACTGAATTTATGACTGTAGAAAAGCTTTCCTAGAAGAAGTGAGGTTAGTAAGGCAATGCAGTTGCAAGGACTAGCTGGCACTATGGGCCATGTTAGAAAGCCTTGAACCAAGGATGTCTCAGCTGAACAGAGTTCTGAACACAACAGACTTGGTCTTCGTACTGGGGACAAAGTTCAGGTTCAGAATTATTTTTCTTGCTCATTATGTTTATATTTCTGAGGAACTTCACACTTTCTCAGCTAGAATCTAAGTCTTGAATTTATCTTACATAGCTTCAGTCATCTAAAAGCTAGATGGCTAGAAGCTAGTAACATCACTAGGCCCATTTCACCTCCTGATCCTAGGTTCAGATGAATATTTGTCTCTCTAGCTACATAGACAGACTACCTTACACTTAAGTCTTAACATATTTTGACTTTATATTGAAAAAGAGATATCATAGATTTCCTACTAACCTTAATCACAGTCTGAAGTTGTATAAAATTTCAAGGCTTTTCCACTTTGATCTACTTTCATGCCTGGGAAGGCAGATGAAGATACAGTGATTTCCTGTTTATTTTTCCTTTATTAATTTAGGACATCTCTCTTACCTCCCTTTTTTTCCCCTTTTTTATACCACTTCCATATTTTTTTTATTTGGGAAAATTATTTCCATGGAGATTCCTTTGAAAGATATCTCATAAAGCTGAAATATTAGTAACTTCGGTATTAACACCAAGTCTTTTTGTTGGTTGGGAATATCATACCTGTACAGGAATTATCTCTGGCTGATCCATCTTTATGCAATCAGAAATGCTTCTCCCTGCAGTTTCTTAATTGTACACTTACCTAATTGCTACACAGAGGCTTGATATGTTTAAACTTCTACATGTAAAAAGGAAGTCATTAAATGTGTTGTTAATTAATGTACCGGAACATCATTTGATATTCCCTATTTTAACTGAACTTTGGGGTTGGGTTCTTTGTTTGGCAGGCTAGGAAAAAAGCTTATGAATGGCTGGAAGAAGCCAATTTTTCCACCCCAGTAGGCATAGAAGAGAAGCTAAAAGAAAAATCCAAAGAACCTGGTGAAGAAAAGACTGAAAAAGAAGAGAAATTTGACAGTGATAAAACAGAAGTACATAAAAACAAAACTGCAGAGGTAAAAAAGCTTTTGGAGGAGAAGTTGCATTAAGCAAATTGTCATACTTTGATAAGATTACCCCTTTATCTTTGTGTGCTGGTTCCATATGTTGTCCTTATTTTTTTAACTCTTGGAAGTATTAAGAAATACTAATACATAACTATTCACTGTAGACCCAATAGGAAACTAACTTACATAAATATTTTTACTGTTAGTCTGTTCACATAAGCAAATATCCAAGGCTCCTCTGCCTAGCACGTTGTTTTTATTTTTATATATTCATGTTTTTGTGTGTATGCATGCATATACACAGTACACAGTGAACAGTGAGCTGAGGGATTCTGTGGTGGAACACCAATAGCACATTGAAAATCATAACTCCTTGGCATCTCTTTCTCCCTGTGACAATACATGGAAAAAATTCTCAGACTTGATTGAAACGCTTAAACAGTTTAAATCACAAACAGACAAAGCAGAAATATTATTTAGGCAACTCATAATTATTAATTCTCTTTATGAGAAACAACATTTAAGGCTAAAAGGATTGTGTCCATTTAGACTACGCCTCTTGTTGATAAGGGTAATTGTGATTGGATATTTTACACCAAGTTATAGCAATATTCGATGTAATTGGTGTCCTTGTAAGGATATTTTTTTCTAATAAAGAAATTATCTGTCATGTTTCCTTACAAAAAGGTTCCAAAGAAGGAAACAGAGTTGTAGTGTCTATATTACAGATTTTTTTGCGATTGCAGGTTTCCATCTGGCTTCAGCTTGTGAAAGCTCTAATGCCATAGTGCTAGGTAGAATTTTTTATCATTTCTGATAAAAGCCACTTTTTTATTGAGAGTATTATCCATTTCTACTCTGGAGATTCATCTGAAGGATGAGTTAACACTTCTGGCTTCGTATACCGGTAATTACAACTTATGCTAGAGTTAAGAGATCTTTGTGTTTGTTAGGACTAGGTTTAAAAGTGCTAAATTAGAAAATCCAAGAGCCTGACATAGTCCCTATCCAAATAATTGGTAGGCTTGTTCTACTAATTTTTCAGGGTAAGGTCTGTATTTTATAGTCTGTGGATATTTTATTTTCCATCGTTTCTGTGGATGACATGGCTGATATTACTTCGCTATGTATGTGGTGGTATTTCCAGTTGGGGTGGAGAGGGCTCTTATGTTTCATATTCTTTTATATGTGTGTGTGTGTATATATATATATATGTGTGTGTGTGTGTGTGTGTGTTGATATTATTGATTATATTATTCCCTGTTTTTAATTTAAGGAAATCTACATGCTATCCATTGAAAGTCTGGCTGAGATAACTGCTCGTTGTATTGAACAGCTTCATAAAGTAGCAGAATTAATTCTACATGGGCAGGAAGTAGAAAAAACAGCTCAAGATCTAGCAAAAGTACTGACAAAGTGAGTGTTATGTATTTCATGTATGAGCATTTGACATTTGCTTAAAACTCATGAAGTTGGGCTCAACTTTTGGCACTTGAAGACACAGTAAGTTCATGGATCAACAAACAGCATTGGCTTTAGGGGATCTAGTGCTATATTTTCTCATGTAATGAAGTTACATAGGCTACCTGTCATGTTTTTACATGGGTAACATATCTATGTTTACAAAAACATGACCTATTCACAAGCTGAAAGTTGTTTCTGCTCCAGTAAGTGAATGTACATGCTACTTTTGGGTTGCATTTCCTGTTCCCTGTGCAAAAAGATACTGTGCTGGCATATACAGAATTTGCTTTTAGAGTGCATAATGCAATCTTACTATCTGCCAGTGGAGTTTCATTATCTAGAGTTTATCTGCCGAAGAGATACAAAAATGAATCTGTAGCACTAAACAAGAAGAACAAATTTGTCAGCAATCTTGTAGTAAACTGTGAAAAACAATACATAAAGTCAAGAAGCCAATTTATCTAGTGGGACTCAAAACTCAAATTTCAAGCTCTCTGTAGTAATTGATTCTACTGATTTCAGTGGGCTTTGATGTTAAGATGTTGTAAGCACTTGAGTCCTAGGTAAGTATATTTAAGCAAGCGTTTATCTTTAAGAATGCTAATAACAATACCAAAGTCCATAGGAACACTTCTGTCTAAACCAAAGTGCTTGAACAAGAGTTTTTCAGAATTGGAGCTAATGTATGGTGTGTCTTGCAGGATGAGGTTCTATATGATGTACCTGTGAACCTTCAACAGAACAGTGAAAGATTTAGAAACAGAACTAAGTCTCCTTGTTCTCTCCTTGTTCTCTACCCACAAGGGTACTTCCTCTTTCAGTAGAGTAGATGATTTATTGATTAGATAGGAAACTTCTCTTTGTTGTCATTAAAGTTTGATTTATTCCCAACAGTATTTTCAGGAGTTGTGTTGCTGCAATCATCAGAAAAACAAAAGTTAAACTAGAAGTTTAGAATTTTTAAAATTGAAACATTTTCCTATCAAGAATGACTAGTGTTTGAGCCAAAATGGCATCATTTTGCTGCTGTAGTCAGTAATGGATTTTTCAGTGGGGTATATAAAATATCATGGACAAAGTCTACCCCAAAATATTTTTAAAATTACTAGAAGCAAAATTGCCTTAAGAACATTCTTGGCTTCTAAGATTAAATTTGTGCCTGGGACAGTCATAGGGGTTCTATCCATTGACAGGACAAGGATGTATTTTTATATTTGTCTCTCTTTTTTTCAAACCAGTTTAACAAGTGCCATGTGCAATGAAGTTTCGTGTCTATCAAAGAAGTTTTCTGATTCTTTAACAGCAGCTGGGGTAAGACGATAGCATTTTCTTTAGCATTTGGGCTTTTTTAAACGAAGTTCACTTCTTAAAACAGAAATTATTACCCAAGTCCAGTGGCTTTACTTTCAAGTTGTTGATGATATTTTCTTTTCCTACTCAGCCTATTCCTTTTGAATGCATTTGTGTAAAAGTCTTTAACAGATAACACTTCCAGTACCTTAGGATGATTTCACAAGCCGTATTCTTAGTCTTTGCTAAATTCCCTGGCCTAGGTCCACTGTGTTTTCAAAAGGTTTAAGAGATTAGAAAATCTCTTTGGTCATCTATCTTAAAAAAAAAAATCACTCTGTCATGTATCTGAAGATACTCCACTTAGAAACATCCCTTTACCTGTGAACATCTTTGCTTGAAATAGTATCCTGCCTTTCAAGATGTTTAAGATGACTGACATCTGAGTATTCTAGTAGGATCCAGAGGCAAAAATTGTGCTGTTTCTGGAATTGTTCGATGAATGTCAGAGAATAACAAACTCTAGCTCTCCTGACTACTCCATGAAAGCGTGAATGCACATCAAAGGAAGCTTTCCCTGTTCTCCCATAAGCTCTTCCAGCACATCTCTGAGCAAGTTGTTTCAGAGTTATTTGTAGACAACATGATTTATTGAGTTGCTTTTATTTTGAATAATTTACATTCCTTCGTGTTAATCTGGGAGAATCTGCATATTTTGCATTTTAGGATAGTATTTTAGCACATCTTTGTGTGACACTTGCAATAAATACATGCACAGATGTATAAAAATAAATTTCACATGAAATATTAAGCTAGCCCAACTAGGAAATTGGAAACTAAAACTTTCATAAGCATCGCACTAGGTTTTTGTTCTTATCAACTCTGCACTCAGTTTTTAAGACCAGATTTGTTGGCATTTGTGTGGACACGTAAGAAATTGAGCACAAGGACACTTCCCACAGCCAAAATACTCTCTAGAAGAGAGTTTTCGTAGGGCAATCTGGTGATCTTTATGTGCCATCCCATCCCTGTGAGCTTTTTGAGAAAGATGAGGGCCTTTTGCTTAGTATGATGAGTAGGAAAGGCATGAGCACCTCTCTCACAGGACTGTAGAAAATCTACATCTTCCTGCACGCCCCAGTGATTCAACTTCCCCCTTAACCTGCCAACAGCACTGGCTTCACAAACACATTCCAGTATCCTACAAAGTGTGTTAGCTCATGGGAAACTAAGAAATGGCTTAGAACAGAAAATACTGGTTTTTTCAAACATAATGTAACCCCTATAGTTACATCTCTATAATTCAGACGTTAGTTGTAGTGCTGGCTGTTCACACAGTCTGTAATGTTGGCCATATTTCTGAGTGAGCAGTAATGCAAACATAAGAAATAACAGCTTTGCTTGCTACACAAGATTTCTTTCAAACTTTTAAATAATTGATTCATACAATCAGTAGTATTTAATTGATACTGCTCTCAACCTGTTTCAGTTTATTGACAATCAACTAAATAGTGCAATTCATAATGGGTTTTCTAGTCACTGACAGTAAAATTGCTCTTTTATTCTTTAACCATCTTCCCTTTGTTCTGTCATATTTCTCAAAATAAAATACAAGGTGTTTCATGTTTCTTTAAATCTGTAATATGAAAACTGCAAGGTTATGAGTAGAAATCCTTCAGTTAAATTAATCTGCACTGTGTTTCATTTGTTCTCATAAAGTCCACCATTCAATATTGAAAGAAACAACTCTTGCTGGAGGTTACTGTCATTCTAAAAAAACACAATGCAAAGAATAGTGAGAATTAAAAAAGGAAAAAACTCTTGCTATTTTAGAAGCAGAAGAACTGGCGAATCTTTGTTTTCTAGCCTCTGGTAGTGTCACTACTCGTTGTATCCATCTTTATTCCTATCTGGTGGTTGAGCTAAATCTGGCCAGCCTGTGTTGTTCAGCTCAATATATACTGCCTCTAGTTTGGGGATCTCAGTTTCACCTGGTTTTCCTTCTGTAGGGGAGCTAATCTGAGCCTTTCATTTCTTCCAACCCACAGATATTTGTGAAAGTTGTAAACACTTAATTTTCTTTCTGACCTGTATTTTTCCTTTTTGTTTCCTTGAAAATGAGCAAGGGGTTAAAAAATCTTGGAGGAGATGGAAAGGGCACTGACAGACAGATGGACAGACAATGTCATCACATAAATCGCATCCACAGGAAACCAGGGAATTTGAAACACTGTGGTGTATAAATTGATGAAAAAGTAAAACCCTGGGCTTGTCTTAGTTTATTGTACTCAGTGATAGAAGTAAGTAGAGTCTACTGAAGTGTAGACAGAGTTACCAGGAATACTGTGATAAACAGCCTGAATAAGAGTCTAGGTGAAGCAAGACCTGTATAGAATTCATAAAACCGCTTCTCAGATATCAATTTATTTCTGTTAAAAGTATTTCTTTTCCTGGCATTTCATGCTATTTTCTGGTTTACAGAGCAGTATGAAGGCAGAGGTTCTTAACCCCATCATCAACAGCGTGCTATTAGAGGTAAACCTGTACTTTTTCACGTTAGGAAGTGTTCTGTTAAAGTTATTTTGAAATTAAACATTTCACATTTATGTCTGAAGAAAGAACTACATAAAAAGTAATGACAATATCATTCTGGCTATTCAGTGCCAGCTCATAAACCTCTCGTTTTTGGGTTCAGCCTCTCCCACAAACACTATTATAGTAATATTCCAGATGTGGTCTCACCAGGGCAGAGTAGAGGGGAAGGAGAATCTCTCTCAACCTACAACCACACTCCTTCTGATACACCCCAGGATGCCATTGGCCTTCTTGGCCGCAAGGGCACATGACTGGCTCATGGTCATCCTGCTGTCCACCAACACCCCCAGGTTGTTTTCTGCTTGGCGGCTTTCTAGACACTCATCAGGCCCCAAGCCTGTAGTGCTGCATGGGGTTATTGCGACCAAAGTGCAGGACTCGGCACTTAGCTTTGTTGAAGCTCATACAGTTGGCCTCAGCCCATTGATTCAGCCTATCCAGGCCCCTCTGCAGAGCCTTCCTACCCTCAGGCAGATCAACATTCCCTCCCAACTTAGCGTCATCTGCAAACTTGCTGAGGGAGCACTGAATCCCCTCATCCAGATCATTGATAAAGATGTTAAGCAGGACTGGCCACAAAATTGAGCCCTGGGAAACACTGCTTGTGACTGGTCGCCAACCAGATTTAGTTCCATTCACCACAACTTTCTGTGCTCGGCCAGCAAGCCCTCTACTCTGCCCTGTTGAGACCACATTTGGAATATTGTGTCCAGTTCTGGGCCCCTCAGTTCAAGAAGGACAGGGAATTGCTTGAAAGAGTCCAGTGCAGAGCCACAAAGATGATGGAGGGAGTGGAGCATCTCACTTATGAGGAGCAGCTGAGGGAGCTGGGTCTCTTTAGCTTGGGGAAGAGGAGACTGAGGGGTGACCTCATTAATGTTTATGAATTTGTGGAGGGCGAATGTCAGGAGGAAGGAGCCAGGCTCTTCTCAGTGACAGCCAATGACAGGACAAGGGGCAATGGGTGCAAGCCAGAGCATCGGCGGTTCAACCTGAACATAAGGAAAACTTTTTCACTGTGAGGGTGACAGAGCACTGGACCAGGCTGCCCAGAGAGGTTGTGGGGTCTCCTTGTCTGGAGACATTCAGAACCCACCTGGATGCGTTCCTGTGTGACCTGGTCTAGGTGATCCTGCTCTAGCAGGGGGGATTGGACTGGGTGATCTTTCGAGGTCCTTTCCGACTCCTAATATTCTGTGATTCTGTGAATATTGCATTTACTGAGCTTTCTTAAGAACTGTATGACTGAAGTGAGACTGGCCAGCTGATAAATTCCACTGCTGTGTTGGTGCTGTATTGCACAGGAGACAATTCTCAATGCGCTGTTTAACCCTTTTCTAACCTAGTGACAAGTTGCCTCAGATAAGTTTATTCTTACTGTTCTGTTACCTGCTCCAAATATTGCAAAGTATTTCTGATACGCAGATAGTTTCAAACTGTTCTGTTATTTAAAATTTGAGTTGCAGGTATGCTACAGTGCTTCCCACCCATGGGCATTTAGATTTCTACAAAGATTCACAGTCTAGCATGGATAACCACGTGTCAGACATCACCAAAAGTTCATGAGTGATTTCTTTCATTAGACACTCTGATCTATGACTGACCTCTTCTATTAGACACCATGAGCTATTTTTCATCAGAAAGCAGAGTGAGTAAAATGTGCGTCAGTTTTACTGAGAAGAGGTCAAGAGGGAGTAATATGCTCATGAAGTACTTAAATGTGTGCTATCTGCAGCACAAATTCTTTTAACTGCTAATTAGATCACACTTCTCTTTAACCAAATAAACTATAGTAATGACTGCAAATTGTGATTCCGTAGCTAACAGTTCCATTCCCTTAAAAATGAGGAAAAGATTGCTTTACAATAAACAATTTTGCAGCGAATTAACAATACAATTAAGGAAAATAATGGAAAGCTGAATAGAGCTGTATTACGATTACTGTATGGTTCCTTTTGTTATTGGGTAAATCTGCTGCTGAGGCTCTGTATCTTTCTGCACTTCAGGAATTGCAAGATCTGGGAATGTCCAGAGTTGTGGAATACAATGTTTTGTACATCTTAAATCCCACGTTTGTGTACAAATATATATTAGTACAGCCTAGGTTTATGGAGAATTACAAGCTGCTATACCATTCAGTATTAGAAATTCCAAAAATAATATTACATGTTAAAACCATTATAATAATTCAAACTGTTAATTTCAGTGACGCTTCTTCCACCTACAGCAAATTCAAAATCAGTTCTGTTGATTGAGAGACTAGCTGGTTTGTATTTAAAAAGTCTAATCTACTTCTGAACACTGTGGCATTTTGTTCTACTCACATTAGAAACAAAACTGTCAAGAGTTCAAACCGAGAGGAACTCAGATTTTTATATAGTGTTTCAGGCTATCCTTGTTAGTTTTTAGTTCTTGTAGTTTATCATTTTTGTTATCTATAGGTTCTAAAATCTTATGTGAATACATATACTAGTATAGCATGATGCAGATATTGAAAAAAAAAGTTTATTTGAAAAGTAAAATGTAATTCCTGAAATACATGGCAACTATACTGATGAATCGCATGTGTTCTCTCCCCGTTAGGGTTGCAACAGTACTACTTACATTCAGGATGCTTTCCAGCTATTGCTTCCAGTTCTGCAGATTTCATATATCCAGACCAGTGGTTTGAAAGCACAGGAGTGACAGTTTCCCAGCAGTTGTCACCAAGGGCTTAGAAGAAACCACAGACCTAATGTCCTCAATGTATGCAGAGAGAAGAAATGGTGTGAGAGATGTCTGGCCACTCAGAGTCCTTCGAAAACTCTGAATGCGGTTTTGCACATGAACAATGTTTTGAAACTCTTTTAGACTTTAGAAGTACTTAGTAAAGTGAGTAATTTCTTCTCCATTAGAGTACATCCTTTGCATTAATTTAAACTGAAGTTTATTGATATTAGCATTGACTTAAATACACATTCTAAATGTTGACCTTTTCAGTTGTAGACGATATATGAAGCAAATTAGAATGCAAGGTTTTTCAAAACATTGCAGCCCAAATGACCATTTCCATTGTTTGCATCGTAACTGCCAGTTACAAAAATGTGTATTTCAAAAGTTGGTTTCAGTATTTAGTTTTTGCCAACATGAACAAATTATCATACTGTTCTACCTGTTAAGTATTATTTACAGTAGCAAATAATAACATAATAATCTGTACCACTTAAGTAACACTTTGTGTTGAAAGAGTTGTATCGTAATAGACATTAACTTTAATAAATTAAAATTATGGAGGATATACATACAGAATTATACTGAAAAGAAATTTTCTGAGGCAGTGAAGAGTACAGGTAAAGCTTTCTATTTGCTGACACATAATTTTATATTCATTTATGTTTATCTCTTAATTCCAATGGCTGATCAACACTGCAGGCCAAAGTAATCTTTTTAATAAGCAAGGAATAGAAAATTTCCCTTTTGTTTGGCAAATGAAAGACCTCCAAAATGTGTTACCAAGTTAACGCTTTGAGGTTTAATTTAGGGTTTAAGCATTATTAACCTTTTTATCAAATGGAGTTACTGATACTGACAAGTCATAAATACAGGTTTTGGGCAAAGAAAGGAAGTTGTGAAGAGAAATTATGAGATAATTGCTTTGGATAGGGAGGTTGTGTGTCAGAGCAATCACCTTTTCTCTGAGGCAGTAGCCAGACAGAGCAAAACTGAGCAGCAGGAGTGCCATTTCATAATAACACTAGCAACCGTGATGATTTATCCTTATCCTTAGCTTAAAATCCTGAGCTGTGTTTGTAGTTTACCTCATAAACAGGAACCTTCCAATATTTTATCTAGCCTGTTCTCCTGGGTTTTCATGGTTTATTACATTTATTTCAGCTATTTTTTTTTTCCTCCTGATACACTCATGAATTGTATTTAAATGCTTTTTATTTGTAGTTAACATCTGCATATATTTAACCATAGAAGGCATAGTTCATACATCATAAAAATAATGAAATAGAGCATGAGGAAATACTATCTTGTTTGTTAGAAATGAGGAACCATGTATCTGCTTTGTACATGGTAACTTTTGTGAGTCCAAATAAGAGAGGGCAGAAAGGTCTGTCTGTGTCTTACACTATTGTGGTCCTTGTTCTGCTGTCACACACACTGTGACTTTTCCATCTTTTGTTATTTAGAGCTGAAATTTTCACTATCCCTGAAATAAGGTTTATTACACAAAATCTGTTTAATGTTTTCAGATATGAATGATTTTTGTTACTTTTTTTTGTATAGATCTTTTTATTTTCTCTGAAATGCAGTGCAGAATATATAGTGTTAAACTTGGCAGAAAAATGTGTTGACTAGTAGTGGTGCCTTTTAGCAAGGGTTGAACAGTATAGGATTATAAGCCTCGGGGAATAATGTCTGAAATTGTTGAAGGGCATTCTTAAGACAAAGATTGCTTGTCAGAGATGCTCCTTACCAGAGGTTTCACTGTCTTCCTTAAATTATGTATGTATTGAATAAAGTACCTTACCCTAAAGTAAAAGAAGCTATAAAAAATTTACATGTGGACTTATTTACATCCATACATGTAGGGAGGGAAACAGGACAGAATATGAGCATCTCACCTCAGATGCAGTTATCTTGTCCTAGGAAAACTGAGTGTTACATCTTTAAATCAATTTTAGGTAATTAATATTTCAGTAGAGAAGTACTATGTGGATGTAACCAGAATATTTTGTTTACACTGGTTTGTATTTTTCCATCAGTCAAATAAATCATTTGAGATACTGAACTGAGACAGTATACCCAAAAATAATGCTATGAAGAATAATGTGATGAGAGGACGTACTCGGTGAAGTCTTTCACTTTCTGATTTTGTGATTTACCTTTGGAGTGATAAGCGTGATTTTACTGAAAGCCTGACAAAAACAGACGCTGCCTTAAACTTTGAAGGAAGCCTGTTCTTTCATCACCATCTTTTTCCAGGTCAGTACACTGAGTGTGCTTTGACATTTGTCAAACTACTACATTTTAAGTACTTATTTAAAAAATAACCTAGATTGTGGAAATTACCTGTTCTCTTGAGCAGATCTGGTTTTCACGACATTCCATTCACTTTTGAGCACACCTTTTTGTGCAGAGACAAAGGAGACAGGGAGACAGGCTTTTGCATTCACTAAAATTTATCAAGATGAGATTTAAAACAATGTCTGCACACCTGCAAGCTTGTGGATGATCGCCTATTACAGGTCATCAGTGAGGGATGAGCTAGAAGTAAACTATTAGACAAGTCATTTGCTCTATTTCTATATTAAAGGTATTTGCACTTTTTTGTCTCTTCTAGGCAAACAACACAAAGCAATCTGTAAGTTGGTAGCGGCTTTTTAGGGTGTAGTCTATTCATGTGTAAACATCTCTTCCCCATGATTTGCTCCTACGCTCCAGCATCCATTGCTTGAGACAGCTAAACAAAAGAACTGTCTCTTCCACTTCTTACATGCTGCGTGGATCATCCACTGGAGCCGTTAATATCTTCCTCTAAAATGTGCCTTACTCATATAATACAAAATCACAATTATTACAAGTTGAGATGCTTTTTAATGATGTTTCCAATGTCACCCACCAGTCAGGATTCATAACAACTTTAATGAGTCCAAGACACCGCGGTATTTTGAGTGACAGATTTTCACCTTTTTTCTGATTCACAGGAGTGTTTTTATCATACAAGCAGTCACCCAGTTCATAGGATTATCTTTGAGACATCCCATTTCTATTTCAAATGACAGCCCTGTCCTTCCTGTTAGTCTCAAAAGAATGTAAAGAGTGGAAAAGGACTTTCCTGAGTTCTTTTTAAAACGATCTTGGAGCAAGGCTTAACATGACACCATCAGCCAGCCTGACCTACTTTGAAATTCTTACAGCCTGACTGGAAAGTCCTCTGGACTTTAAACACTCCTTTTCTGTCTCAGGTCAACCTTTGTTGCTGAGAATATGAGGACATAACCAGCTGCTTTTAGTGCGCGACCCATACATTTTCTATGCTCTGACTGCAGCATTCGTAATATTGATGATGGTGTGCAGCTTCAGAGTTAAAAAATTGAAAATGTCAAAAATTGAGCTGCATTAAAAGATGGGAGAGGAAAAATTATTTTCAATGGAAAAAGAATAAAAGGATGTGCTCTGTGGAAACAGGAAGAATTTTAAAGGTTGGATTAAAGAAAGGGTTCTCTAAAAGAATTTTTCAGCATTGTTCAGAGTAAACAAGAGATGACACCTGATTAGTTCCAGCAGAACTGGAGTAACGGCACTTCTGAAGTAAAACAAAACTCTGCATGAACTTGTAGGAAGTAAGTAAAAGGTAAGAACATTCAAAGAGGAAGACCTCAAAGGAAAGAAGACGGCTAATCTGATCACTCTAGATCTGCAGTGTTTGTTCCCCCTTTACTGCCTGCACCCCAGAAGGCCCTGAGCACACATCTGCTAAAAACATCTTATTAGTCTCCCCACTTTGCCTTGCAAATATTGTACCCAAGGAATGAAAGAATATTTCTTATGCAACACTACCATAATGTGCAAAAATGTCCAGAAAAACTGCAACGTGAACTAATCATAATCCTTAGTGACCTGAATCTGCTGCTGCTGTAAAGAGGAGGGCATGAAGACATTACTCAAACAAATATTTCTCTTTTGCACTACAGGGTTGATGTTGAAAGGCATTTGACAAATGGTGCCAGTTCTGGAGTCTGACAGTGTCACCTAAATGAAAGCCAGAACACTGGATAATTCACAACTTTTAAACACCTTCAGAAGCCTCTCAACCCATTTGCTAGACTTGTAAAACTGCAGCCTACTCTTCCTGCCCATGCTTATCTCAGACACTGTACCAGTGGCGTATACAATGCTGGTATTTAAGGTGGTCTGTGCCTTTCCTTCAGTTTCCTTACCAGTTCTGCTCCGTGGCCATTTTGCGCATTTTTGTACACCCTCAGTTCTACCTTCCCCATCAGTTTTGTTCACCCCGCTCTCCTCCACCTTCATGTCTCCTTCCCGACCCCAGTTTCTGAGGTTCTGCCCTCCTGCCCATCATCATGTGGCTGAGGGGCTGCACCAGCATATCCTTTCTCTCCTGATGTGTTCAGTTTTGAAAATGCCAGAGAAGAAGACAAGGGGTCAAGAGAACATGGGAGGAGAGAAACCCAGAGGATCTCAGGAGGAAATGGGAAGACACTAAACCAGCTACTTTTTAGTCCCCTCCTTCCTTCTCCAGTGTAGAGAGGTTGGACTAGAGACTGCCTGAGGTCCCTTTCAACCTGAATTATTTTAGGATCACATTTTTTTCTTACCATTCCTACCAATGTCTCCCCATTCTTCCACTGTATCATACTTGCAAGACAAGGTAAGCTCTACTCAGCAAAGATTAAAAGCCTTTTGGGTTTACTTGGTTTTGGTGTTTTTAAAGGTAACTGGGAAGATGAAACCTTCCAGGGTGGTAAAACCAAACATGTAGAGAGCTGTGGCATAACTGCGAGTAATAAAATAGTAAGTCACAGTTTAGCCATCCAAGGAAAAGATAAGAGAGAGGTTATAGGCAGCAAGAATAATGGAATTAAATTATAGGAGAAAGGAAATTAAATTGGGGTCACAAGGTGCAGGGCCATCCTTATCAACAAGATCCCTGGATTACTGAAGGGGAAGAGTGATAGATAGTGCCATCATTTGAAGCATTTAAACACTGACTAAAATGGCCTTAGCAATTCTGCAGTGATTTGAGCTGAGCACGTCTCTTCATCTGTAAGTTGCTGCTCTATAGCAAGAAGAAGGAAAAAAAAAACCAACAACCAGAAACAAATTGTGAGAGGTTTATTTTATAGACTGTATTAAAAAAGCCATTTCTGAAAAGCTTTGAGTTATTGTCACAGGTAAGCAATAAAGCCTTAAAAGCCCTCAAATCAGGAAAGTCAGTATTATCTGATTTTTTTATAAGATGGTAACAAACAATAGAAACAAATGCTTCAGACTTATCCAACTAAATATAAAAATTTCTGTATGGCCTCAAATCATTCAGAAGCTAATGTTCACAACTATTCCTATTAAATCTGAACTGCTTGGTGCAGTATAATGACTGAAGAAGCAATTTCAGAAAGCTTCAGGAGGGAAAAGCTATATAAATGTAAGGGATGGAGGTTACGAAGTATTAACGTGATGCTAAATTGCTGCATATCATATTTGCAATGGGCAGTTTTCAATCTGTTAATCCTGATGGATTTAGCACAAGGGAGTCTGAAATCCTGGCTCTGCAATTTCTGTCTGCCTAGTAATTGTTGGTTAAATTGTACCCAGAATTAATGTGTTAGCACCGAATGAGTTTGGGACTCTGCTCAGCCCAAACATTACACTCAGAGGAGCAGAAATAAATGGAGAGGAAGAAAAAGTTCCAGGAGATAATGAGTCGGAATATGAATGACCTAAACTAGTACAAATAATAGGAATGCAATTTGTCAAAAAGTATGAATCCCATTTGGAGACTTAATGAGTTATTAGAAAACAATAATAATGATTTTGTGTGGTTCAAAGCCGAATTACTATCTTTCCACATTTTGTTCTTTATCCACTAAGATCACAGAATCACAGAACGTTAGGGATTGGAAGGGACCTCAAAAGATCATCTAGTCCAATCCCCCTGCCGGAGCAGGAACACCTAGATGAGGTTGCACAGGAAGGTGTCCAGGTGGGTTTTGAATGTCTCCAGAGAAGGAGACTCCACAACCTCTCTGGGCAGCCTGGTCCAGTGCTCTGTCACCCTCACTGAGAAGAAGTTTCTTCTCCAATTGAAGTGGAACCTCCTGTGTTCCAGCTTGTGCCCATTACCCCTTGTCCTATCATTGTTTGTCACCGAGAAGAGCCTGGCTCCATCCTCGTGACACTCACCCTTTAACTATTTATAAACATTAATGAGGTCTCCCCTCAGTCTCCTCTTCTGCAAACTAAAGAGACCCAGCTCCCTCAGCCGCTCCTCATAAGGGAGATGTTGCAGAATTTATTAAAGTCTTCCTGGTTTGCTGCAGAAATTAAAATGTACTGCAGAATTCACTCCTTCTATGATCCTCAACAGCCAGAAATCATATCTTTTAAGCATCTCAGTCACCTAAATCATTAAATAGGCTGAAAACTGTTCTAGTTTCATGAAAGTAGATCCTACAGAGAATACAAAATAAATTTCTGGTCAGATAGTATATAGAATTATTGCAAGGATTATCTCACATCCATATGATTAAGTGTAAATCCTGAATAAACTGAAAATAGATGTGAAATCTATCCTCTCCTACTGAAGTGGATTGTACAGCAAAACACATTTGTCCATCATTCATATTTTCTTAATACCAGATAATTCTGCTGATAGATAAAATGGAACTTCTCCACTAAAATGCACAGTTGGCATTCTCATGAAGAGGTGAGTGACACAGCTCCCCAAACTGGAAATGTAGATGCTTTCTTCTGTGGTGGATGTTGTGTCTTCTTTCATCCAGTAGTAATCGTATTTCATATGGCAACATCTCAAACTAAAGAAAATACCCGAAAAAGAGAGGAGGTTAAAAAGCAGTCTTTTCCAATTTATCTTAGATGTCATTCTTTTGACTTTCACAGTAATGAATTCTCCTCTTTATTGCAAAAGAAAACAACAACGTAACTGAGAGGCTGACAAAATAGAAGATACACATCAGATTGAAGCAAAAGACCTAAGAATGGTACCTGCCAGCAGGATGGAGGTTTAGGTACCTTCCCCACAAGACAATGATACAGAAACCCGAGGAAGAAGCACGGTACCGTATGCACTTTCAGGGAAGTCTGGCAACCTGAGAGCGGGCGGAGCCAGAAGCTGCCCTGGAGAGCATTTGCCACATACAGCAGGCTGCAGAGCACCAGTAGGGATGTCCTCAAAGTGTCTCCAGCTGCGTTTCTGCAGAGCGTCTCCATCTACACAGGGTTCAGTCTGCAACTCTCTTTCAAAGGTAGGCAGTGATGGATCTCTTTCCTTCAAATAACTGAGCAGGCTTCGCTCTCTTTTCTTCCCTTCGGGCTGCTAGGGAAGAAGAGTTCTGTGTGGTGTCTACCTGGGCTCTAGAATCCCTGCTCTGAGCATCTCTTCATGAACTACTCCACCTGCAGCAGAGTGTTCAGAATTAAATTTGGGGTATTAACAAGGTCTTACTGCAGCTGAGCCAAAATAAGCTAAATTGTCCTAATCTGAAAAATAAAAGTAGACCAATCCAAACCACTAGCAAATCTGTACCCAGCTGCATTTCCCATACTCTACTCATATACAGTAGGACAAATTTGGAAATAATTAAATAAGAGCAGCCTTTTCCACATTACCAAGTCAAAAATATTCCTCAGTAATCATTGATGAGACTTTTGAAATTTGAACTGCAGCTCCCAAAGTAGCACATGATGAGGAACCTTGAAATACAAAAATGCTCGGATCCCAATCCAGCTCATCTTTAGTTTTTAGGAAACTATAGAATATCGGGGGTAAAAACACAAGGTTTCTGTACTTCTTATTCCCGTACACAGTGAAAAAAGCAAATGTAGCTTGTTGCCCATTCTGGTTAATCACGTAGCTGCAGGCCCAGTAACAACATCTGTGTCTCTTTTCTTTTACATCATGAGAACTGGGATAAGAAGTGTTTCTTTGGCTGTGAAATCACAGTGGAGGCAGCAGCTGCTGAAGTGAGCAAGAAAATGACAAGAGTAGGCAGGATACAATGCATCAAAAATTTATGCTGGCTAATGGAGCAGGGGGGTTAAACAGCCTGCACAGCTCCCATTATAGTCCAGTTCTGCAAGCAACCAAGAGTGCTTCCCTTCAGAAACCTCCAAGTGTCTGTTTTGGAGAGAAATACATCCTGGCATGCGTTTTATGCAGAGCCCAGTAACTGTGCCAAGTACCCTGGAATGTGCTCAGCAATCTGATTCTGTGAGCACTTTCGTACCAAGAGTAGTTTTCATTTTAATGTGTGATTAAGACAACTCTATTATGGAAGCAGAAACAGAGGAGGAATTCTGTTTCGTAATACCTAAAAAATAAATATCTAATAGAGTTACTGCATGCAGTCCTGAAAATAATTCAAAGCTGCATGTGGGCATATATCTTTTTTTCATAGTTATCTACAGGAATTTGTGAAAGCATAAAAAATGATTCTTTCCAAGAATGGCCAACTGGCAAACCCAGTATGTCAGCACTGGCAGGAACTTCTGCCTTCAGCAGCATCACACCCAATTTTATGATGGCTTTAACCACAGCACTATCACTTCTGAGCTCTAAAATAATGTTTTTCAGAAAAAGTGTCAAAAGGATAGTTGGAAGGATCCCAGCAATTTAAAATCACACCTACTGTTCTTTACAAATTCATGCATGATTTATAAACACAGCTTAACTGTAATCTTCCTCTGGCTCCTGAGCACACTGGATGTGTGCCTTTGCTCGTTTCCCTGTTTCTCCTGCATAATTTGTATCTTCTGTTGTTTGTGTGGGTGTCTTGCTGGAAGACAGATGAGAGAGGGATTCTTTTAAGTATGAAAACACTTTTGTAAAGCCACAAACACTTAAGCAAAAGCAGGCAAATAATATTTTTAGTTGCCCTTTCTGTTTGTGCTACTAAGTTCTGCAATTATAGCATTTAAAGACTTGTTCAGGAAGGCAGCAGGGGCACAAGCCAACACTCAAGTGGTGCTTGAGATGGACCTGGATTTAATTTTCCTGGTATTAGACTGGGCTCTGTACAATTAAATTTCTCAATTGCTAGGGGAGGGTATCCTAAGAAAATGACAGCAGTAATGATACTCTGAATGTAGCTGGATAGGAATCAGCCTCTCATAAACTCAGTTACTTACTGATCTCTTGTGCCAACCACCCTAGATGGGAGGTTTTGTGCTTTTAGATTGTAAGAGAGGAAAGGGTCCTATCAACGTCTTTTATTTTACAATTTCTGTGAAAGAGGTTTTAATGTTTTTTTAGCCATATACATGCTTCCCCTGTCAGTTACCTATCACATATGTTATGTTCCAGTTTTATAATCTATTTCACCTGAAGATAAGATTGTGCCCTAAATACTGTATTCACTGGGAGACCAACTTGTCTTATCTAAGCATACAGCTACACTGAAAGCATTGTAAGAACTAAAGCACCTTACATGTTCAAGGATCTCAGAACTCTTCACAGAGAGATGGAAGTGCTGACGGCAAAAGGCAGTGTACTGAAAATTGCTGACAATTAGTGATGTGGAGCTTCTATACAGCTTTTGACACATCCAACTTTATTAAGAGAATTATTGGGAGGCAGAGCACTTAAGATTGTTTTATCTTGTCCTTGAAGCATTGACTGTCAAAGAGACTGATGTAGTAAATAAACTGTTTGGGATAACAGTGACCAATTTTTGTGAATTTGATCAAACAACAGCTCAGAGCATGACACTGGACAATTTGAAAAAAAGAAAAGTTCACAGCAGTTAGCTTTAAGACACTGAGTTTTCCTTCTTTCTTTCTTCATAAAACGGCAGCACTTCATCCAGGAACTGCCAGGTCTATATCCGTCTCTAGTTTTCCCAAATAAGAAAGAACACTGTTCTGTCCTAGGCATTCATGAAAGCCATTAATGCTCCTTTTGATTCAGAGAATGCAATGCTGCCTTTTCCCCTTGAACAGGCAGAGGACAGAAGTACTGCAGGAGAGGGCTCACAACTAGTCTTCATGCTTCATGTGATTTTTATTCTGCACTGATCACTGTGAGACTGAGGTGCACCTTTGGTATGGAAGAGGCCAGCAGGACCTGCAGAGCCAGTGTGCTCTGACTCCACATGGTCCTGCCACTGGGGAAAGGCAAACTGCCACAAAGGCAGGACACAGACACAGAGAGAAGGCATTGCCTGGGACAGGCTTTCCTAAGCCTCCAAGGGAAATTTAGCCAAAACCTCTCTGACGTAACAATGATTTCAGGGCTAACCATCAGCACAATCATCTTGCTGAATGCTCTAACAACTTCAGGGAGACCGCCATAGATAGGGGTATTTTGATATAGAAAAAATATAGAAATTCTGCATTTATCCTTCTGGTCTGCTCTCCCAGATTTCTTGCTATCAGTCCAGCTTCTTGTTTCTGTCTTTTCATCTGTCACAGAACAGAACATTGACTTAGGAAAAAAAAACACCACCTCAGATACACATCCCACAGCATTCTAGGGCTGCTAAACATAATAGTTGATGCAAGTAGTGCTTTGTAAGTTAAAAGCACTACATATTCCCTGTTTTAGCTGAGGATAAACAGTTATTACCATGGTGCAAATTAGTAAAGAGATGTCATCAGCAGCGATGGAAGAAGTTGGGTCTCCAGAGCCTTATTCTAGCATGCTGTGCCTTGAACAACATTGCCCCCAGATGCAAATATTTGCCCTGAATAAAATGTTCATGTTTCCTATCTAAATAAACAGCAGCCTTGAAGTTTGCAGTAGTTAATGTCACCTTTTGACAGCACTAAGAAAAAACATCTACAGCTCTCATATTTAGAGAGGCCTGTCTTAAAGTACTTGGGGGACTTGGTTCACTCATTTTTTCCAGGACAGTTGCTAATATGGTGGTTTAATGAAAGATGGCAGAAACAGAGAAGGATTTTTAACTTCAGCATTCAGATATAATAATAATAGTTACCATGAAAATACACAGACATATTAAGTGACCTATGCTGAAAAGATTCCCCTTTGGCAAAGGTACGAGTGCAGAAGTTGGTAGATTTTTGTATTAGCTGTCAGTGTGATAGTAACCAGTGAACAGTAAGTAATGGAGGACGTGCGTGCATCTCTGTGTGCATACACAAATACACGCATATATAGATACATAGATACACACACATATAGGAAGTAAGTATATTGCTAAACATGACCACTCACACGTCTGTGGCCAGGTGTGTGGTCATATGTTTATCGAGATACTTACATTCTATGATCAATAGTATTGTTTTAAATATAAAGACATTAAAAAGACATTTTAAAAAAACCGACGTGTTTTTTTGACATAAAAAGAAAAATTCAGCATTAAATAGCAATGATTGATGTCTCTCCATCTATTAACAAGACAAATACTTTCTTGTCACAGATTGGAACAAGCAAAAAATATGCCCTATACTTTGCTTTCCTGTCCAATCTGGTTTTTAACTTACTAAATTCCTGTGGCTAAAAACAACATTGTCAAGCCTTTCAGCTTTCAATGTGCTGGGTTAAGGGCATTGCTGAGGCCATCAGCAGGTTCTCCAGCTCAGCAGCAATGATGGGAGTGATAAGAATGATCCTTGCTTTATAATTTCTTCCTCCTTACAGCTGCTGTTATACCTGCCACAACTGTTGTGCAGCTGGCCTCCTTACCCAAAAATCAAATAAACACTCTGTGTTGTGGTTAATGCATTCTCTGAGTGCTGCTTCATCTAGCTGGAAATAAGGAAAACTGTAACTCAGAGATGTTTGCCTGTCCTTGTCTTGGCTGTGTGGTCCAGGCCAGGCATTGAGGTAACTTACCAAACAGACTGAAGCCGGATTTGAAGCAGAGAAGGGCAGATGTATGCACTATCCTCAGTGGAGCTTTCTCAGGCTTCTAGCTCAGGCTAGAGCCCTTCCTTCTTTAAAGCTCTTGTATTGGCTGCCTGAAATGCTTGTGCTTCAGGGGAGCAACTGTTAGCATGATACAAAGATGACGCTTTTTGTTCAAGAAGCTCCTGGTGCACACTTCTTATCTCCACCTCACCTCCTTCTTGGGGAAAAAAAACCACCAGGTTTTATCAAGTCAGTGGAGTCTACAGCTGTCTTTGTAAATTCTGGGAATTTTATAATCTTGAATTTTCAGCTGTTCATGTGCAGCACTTCTAATGCAGCCAGCTCCTTCCTGTTGAGCAAACTAGTCTTTAGTAGCATTGTAGAGACTTTATAGACACAACCCCTAGCACTCATGAGAAAAGTAGACCACAGTCTTTTTCCACAGCATAAGTAACCAAAAGGACTACTAGCTCGCAAGCTTTCCTGTAACTGCCATGTCGTTACTCACTGAGCCACCCACAAACATAAGTAGTAGCGACTTGAATCTGACCTTATCAGATGAAGGGGAAGCATGTCTTTACAGGAAGTGAAGCTAACTAAAGCAGAAAGTGCTTTTGTTATTTTCACAGAATATTTAGCTTTGAGACAGTATTCCTGGGAGAAATGTTATTCAAATCCTTGTGTGATGTAAGACAAGATCTAGATCTAAGTTCTTGCTTCTCCAGCCACACCCTTTAATAATCTTTCTACACAATGCCATATAACATCACAATTTTATGCATTCGACATTAATCCCATGTATCACATCCAGCTTTCTCCTCACAGCCAGCAGTCGTTCCAACAGGATGACTATACATTATGACCTATACAGCACAGAATCGTGACAAGATATTTAGGGGTTTTCAAGATACCTAATCTTTTTCTTTCAGTCACTGACCCATAGATTATGGAAAGGGATAACTTCATCCCAAAGTGTCCAGGATGTCATATATTGTCTCACAGAGCAATCAAAGAAAGATCTGCAAAGTTGTTCCTTCTCTTTCTACCTTAAATACATAACACTGAAGATAATGAAAGCAAAAGGAGTGCTATCAGGTGGATCCCAATGGTTAGTCCCACTTCTAGGAATACGAAAGTTAAATTTGCACAAGAGCAGGCCATGATTTTTTACCTTCTTCCAAAAGGTTGGGAAGATTGGACTAGATGATCTTTTGAGGTCCCTTCCAATCCCTAACATTCTGTGATTCTGTGAAAAGATGAGGTTTGGTGAACCCAACATCCCAGAAGAACAAAGCATGCTACTGATCAGCCATAATACTGTATAAATGAGGACACTGAATACTAGTGAGTATCCCCTTAGCAACACATCCTTTAGATGACTTAGATATGTCTTATTTTAAACCCAAGAGTAAATGCTTTCACAGGAAACAATTAAGGTGGGCAGGTACATGGCAGACAGGGATATGGGAAGATAAAGCTTTACCTGAGAGATACTTGACAGGTATCAGGAAAAGAAATGGTCAAGTACATGGCATGACATGATATTGAGTTTTCAATAAAATTCCATCCAATTTAAATGGATGTAAAGAATGACCTTCTTAGGATTTTAACCTAAAAAATTCACCATGAGGACTAATATAATCTATGCAAGTAGCCATAACCTTGTCTATGCAATTGATATATTAGTCTGTATTACTTACTCAAGTAGCATCTGCTCTGTTTCTAGGCGTTACAAGTATTGCCAGGAAGAGGTATCTCTTGTTGCACATTTCTTTTCAGACCTATTCCCTTACATCTGTACTTCCTGAGTTACTGTACTACAAAAGCTGAAGAAAGTAAGAAGTGGGAGACTAGTGCTGAGACTAGCAGACTAGTTCTTCTGACTGGTGTAATAACAACAGAGCCATCAATTTATTTATTTTGAAGAATTTGATCAGCAAACTATTTATTTAAAACATGTGATTCTCTTCAGAGATCATTTGCAAATTGCTTCTTTGCTCTGTCCTTGTCAGAAACGAATGTCAACATAATGCTGAAGTCCAGGACAAAATACTGTACATCAGAAAAATAGTGTCAGGATTCGCACTCTGGCCTTCAGGGGCACGCAGGGTTTAAAGGGCTAACCCATTAGTTTATAGATGACTCTTGGTAGCAGGAAAATTGATTTTGTTTCCATGCCACCTAGCTCTCACAAAACACATTTTCCAGTATGTCATCTCATTTACTTGGCTAGAAGAAGTAGTAATTTATTTTGAGCAGATATTGAATACTATTAATTCTAAAAATATGAGGCAAAACAAAATAATCGAAGTTGGAAGATATTTACTTACCTTCTACAGTTGCTGCACCCACATGACAATACTCTTGTTCAGGAATTATGGGCAGTATCTTTGAGGTCTGTGCAGTAAGTGGAATCTGTTGTTCGCTGGTTTTCTCTATTGAAAGTTAAAGTCGGTTTTATCCATGTTATTAAACAGCAAATACATCTGCAGAGTGTTAAATATTGAATCTACAAGTTGAAAAATAATTGAGACCTATCTGAACACAAGGCAGTGGTGGACAGCCAGTTTTGCTGTGGGATTTCAGTGTCCAGAGATGCAGATATATGTCAGGAATTCCCGAAAGCACCAACCATGTTTTGTATTTAACTCTCTCTTGTAGTGGGACTACAACGTGCTGATCCTAAGTCTCCCTGGGCTCAAAGGTAGGCAACTAAATTGCTCTTGGAAATTTTACTAGTAAGGAAAATAAAAAAGCATGAAAATTTGGGGTTAACTAAGAGTCACTAAAATTCAAAAACCTACAGTTGGCCAGTTAAGAGGGAACAACTGAAATTTAGAGTGTGAACTTTCTGATTAATTTTCAAATAAGGGCAACCCAGACGACTGCCACTCAGGAAAATGTAATATAGCCTCCACTAACCTATCATACACACAGGGAGAGCTATTGGGTATCATCTAGTCCTTAACAAAGATGACAGCATCCACCTCAGTAGCAGGGAAAAGTGTGGTGATGCCTTTAGCACACAGGCAACAGATACTGATATGATATCTTACTGGGATACAGATAAATAAAAACACAGAAAAACATTGTCAGGATAATGAAGTCACAGTTGTTGATGTAACATGTTTTTCAGAGCTACCATAGAACACATATAATATCTTAACTCCAGGTCCATCCTGTCCGCAACCATAACTTCCTTAAACCTACAAATGGGTTTTCTACTGAGTTCATAACAAGAGGATGAACCATGTCACTTATATGTAGATACATCCCTTCTCTACTTACTATATCATTTGGGCTTCGTTCTTTACAAATGCAATTAAAAAGTGGAGGTTTGATCCTGGTAATTAAGCAACTGAATATGAAAAGCAAAGTTAAAATAAAACTGGGGTAGATTTAAAAACAGCAATGGATATTGTTTCACACTCAGGATGAACCTGGAGAGAATGGGAATGCAGGGTGATTTTCCCATCAGAGGCTGTGTGTGACACTGCTCTGCGTGCACCCAAACTGAGCAGAGGAATGGCCCCTTGTGCATCAGTGCTCTACTGAAATCATGCAGGGACTATGAAAAGCTCCCTAAAATTACCTGCATCCTGTAGATTTTACCCTCCTTTCTGAAACATAAAAAAAGACCCAAAGTGGTAATAAGGCTTCACATTTTTCTCTGGAAATGTTGCGTCTTAAAATATTGTTAGATACTGAACACTGTGACAAGCTTTGCTTTTCCCAGCATTATTCATCTAAGTTGCAGAGGAAAAGAAAACTATTCAGCTATTTCAGGAACTGAGAAGGATCAGAATCAAATAGGTGATGCTTCACTTGGCCAAGATTAAACAAATTTCTCCTTTCTTGGCTTTGCATCTATTTGCTGATCTAAAAGATGTCTCTTGCCTGTCCTCTTAGCTAAAAAGAAAATGTATTGAAGAATATAAGGAGGAGTGAGTCTGAATTCACTGGGATGCCAGCCCTGACACAGCTGAGCCAGCATTTGCTTCTATTTCCAACCTGTCAGCTAAGCTGAAGCTATAGCAATACGTCAGAGACATGGCAGGATTTTGCCCATTTCCTCTAATCTTGTAGGAGAGGAACTATTATTTTAATAAGATAGTACAGAAAACAACACAGGAATTCAAATGGCTGAGAGAAAATTTGTCTTGTTGTTTCTTGTGTGCAAATTACAGCTGCCAAAACCATTTACATCAAATGCTATGGATGTCACGAAGTCTAAACAGTCTAGAAAACAACTGCAGCCCAGAAAACCCGAGATTTTATTCTCTGAGTCCTGGTTGCCACCACGATCCTACAATGTCCTTCTTTCAGGATGAGCTGTAAAATTACTATCCATCAAAATTAACTTTGCATTTCCGTGAGCCAGACAACTGAGTCAAGGAATCCTGTTTTTGTATCCTAAAATGTAATAAGCCAAACTGTGACTTTGTGAGCCAATGGAGTATCACTGAAAATAGAAGTGTATATATATATATATATATATACACACACGTACACACCATTTGAGCAGAAGTAGGCATTATGTTAGAACTAAGGTTCCCCACATGGACTGTAGAGTAGTAACATGATGATTCCCCAATTCCCCATGATGATAACAATATGATTCCTTGTCTGCACAGTCCCATTCTAGCACAAGCATGGGAGCAGGCCCTTTTTTCCAGTAGACCTCATGCTGCTCTCAAAATTGGATAAAAATAAACAAGGAAAGTCATCCTTATGCTAGGGAAAGAAAGAAGGTCTAAATTGGAATTTACAGTGGCAGACTTCTAGTGATAGAAATTCACACTTAAGTATAACCCATATATTTATATTAATGAAACTTCCAGTATGAAAAGATCCTGCTAGGCAGATTCTGTTTAGGTATTAAATGCCTGATTTATGCAATCTGCTTCCTGTGCAACTTCTCTTTTTTTAAATAATGTAGTGTACCGTTCACACACACTGCCTGCTCCCAACAGTTCTGTGCCATGTCTCCAGGCTAATTTTTTTTTAGGATACAATTATGTGAGAATAGCTATACTTAATCTGTTACCAGTAGTGGAAAAGCCACTAAAGTGGCTTAGGGAAAGTGGGCTAAGAAAAAGGTCTAAGAGCAGGGTAAGTATAACTGCCTTCTCTTTCTCTGGAACTGAGACTGATTTAAGCAGTAAACTGTGCATGACAGTTTAGCAGTTTCTATCTGAGTTCTTTTAAAACACTGTGGGGAATACTCTCTGGTTCTTCTAATTGCTATTATTAATTTATTAAGTTCTTCCAAAAGCTCTTCTACTGCCTCTTCAGTTTGAGAAAGCTCTTCACAGAAATTCTTGCAATAAAAGTCTCATGTGGGAATCTCCCTAAGATTCTCTGTCATGAACACAAAACAAGGAACTGACTTTTCTTCCATGGATTATTTATCATGTGCTACTAATATCAAGCTCTTTTAGATACAAAAATGCTCCGTGTTTGGAAATACAAATCAGCCTTTTAAAGAATACTTACTTCTTCCACTAGAAGAAAATGCACCCTGTATTCTTTCCCTTTTTTTTTTTTTTTGTGGCTGCATTTAAAAGAAACTGTGTTTTGTGAATTCATAGCATTCAAGGGACTGCTTTACATAAATGCAATGGCAGGAACTGATCCAAAGCCTAGAAAACATGCTCTGTACAGCCCACGCTCTCGTGCATACTTTTTTGGTTTAACGGCACAATGTTTAGTCAACACCAGAATCCGTCAAGCTCCCCTATCCTCACTATATGTGCTTAATCCTTTGTAGTACCATAAATTTGGAATTCTGTCATTTTAATCCTACCCTAGAGAGGGCACATTTTTCCTCCTTTCCTCTGGCCATTGGACTTAATGGGAATGATTCATGAGCAGAGAGTCAGTTTCACAAAACTAGCATCCTTGCTGTAAATTATCTTTTTGTAAGAACACAGTGATAGCAAGACAGTAATTTCCTGAGTCTACCTAGGAAATCATTCTCATCCTCAAAGTACAGGTTTCCTTCTTTTTCTTCCCTTATCCTTTCTGAACTTTGAATAATCCTTTAGTAGTACCTATACATCTTTTAATCTATATAAGACACTGTCACATAATCTCAGATATCTTTTTTATTTTTAATAGCTATTTAGTCTCATTACAGTGTTTCCAGGGTTGCTGTATTGTCTGCAGTGGATCTCACTGTTTCATTTCAAGATTCCAAGTTGAAAATATTACCAAGCAGTGTCACAGCTATTTATAATTTGTTATGATAGTAGCAAATCTTAAACTTAGCAACTATGGAAAAAATAAACTGTTTTCATATGGTCTTGATTCTGCTTTAAATTACACTGGTATAAAATGGGAAATTGACTGGACTGACTGGAATTATGGTGTGTGAAATCAAGGAATTTCATAATAACATACAGCCCATTATAGCAGTTCATACAACTAAGCATCTCTCTGGGTTAAATGGATATACTGAAGTGGGAGGAACACAGAAGTAAGAATGACAGACCAATATGGGATTCTTATTCTTTTCAGTAAATTCCAGTAAAGCTAGTTTTGAATTTCCATAAAACTCCATTATCAAAATCCCTTTTGATATACAACACTAAAAATGCCATTGTGAACATGCTGATGAAACAAGTATGGCATTAGTGAAGCTACTCAAGACAAACGATGCCAGAGAGATAATTCCTTTCCTGAGGGATGAACATAATGAGCTCATAAATACATCTTAGACATAGCTAGTGCTTTAAAGGTGAGGAGCATAAATTGTACTCCCAGGGGAGTTCAGACAGACAGGGAGCTATTCACTCTTT